TTCACTGTTCGCTGCAAGAATACTGCCATTTATATTTTCTGCCAAAAACAATGCTGTAAAAGCGAAGCTTGAACCCGTAGAATTTACGGATGATGATAGGAGAGAAGTGAGATCTATTAGTAGCTGGCATTAGTGCACACCTTTCCTTCAAATCTTCTGACACGCCCATGAATTTCTGCTTTTCTGTCTTTGTGAAATATCTGGTCATTGGACAGGAGGACTTTACTAGTTAAGAATGGCTTTTGACCTAACAAAAGACCTATGCATCAAAAAAGGAGAGGTGATGCCCTTAATTTTGGCAAAATAATATTTGCGGCAACTAACTAATAATTGAAGCATTTTGTGGTAAAGAGAATTGGCAAAACATAAAACAAAATTTGAATGTGCCTTGAGTAATGAAGTAATATTTCACCTTATTTATTTCAATTTCGCATATCAAAGTATTCAAAAAACAAGTTCAATTAACACTTTAATTCAAACATTATTTTGTTGTCAGTCGTCCCTATTCCATTCTGTCACATTTTCCCTTCCAAAAGCCCCGCCATCGTACACGTCCTGCAAAAGATGGTAAGGAATTGTGATCACGGCCCCAACCACTCATCTTTAATTAAACGTTGTCGTTTCAATAGCATGATCAGCAAAAACTCCACCCCATTTGGTATTGGACAGCATCATATAGTCAATCTGGCTAGATGGGAGCCGAAACATGTAAAGACAGATAAGCAGGCCTAGGCACACACAATTTGCGGGTAAATGGGTTCTCTCTGCTGGTTCTGTCAGAATCACAGATCCACGGATGCATTGTTCACATTTAGACCGTCGTTGTTCGGAGGAAAGTCTGCCTCTTCTTGCTCGTAGTAGAGCAATTTAAAGTATGGGTCTTTCAAATAAAAACAGTGTCTTACACAAAGATGATAGGCAGATAGAAAAAAAGTATGTAAACGCTTATGCGAGGTAAAGTGTATAAGGGGGGAGATAGATAACAACTTTTTACGTCGCAGGTAGGTGTAAGCCAAATACTTAGAATTAATGTGCCCCACTAAGCGGAACCGTCAAAACCTAAACAGCAGGCAGAAAATTAATTTTACTAGTTTACAATACATCGGAAATTGTGCAAATATTTAATTATAGCACCCGCAACCTGTGCTATTGTTGCATTATTGAAATTACAAGACAAGTTTAAAAATTTAAAAATTGTTTTTAGTCGTTTTTATTTCAAATTTTTTTAAGTTTCCAACATGTTCTTGATTGACTACACTATCAAGTCATGCCCAAATGCCACCGCGCATCGGGTGAAGTTTCGCTTCCATAAGCTTTTTTTTGACTTGTGGTGTGCAGTAAACGTCTTTTTATCAAACCCCTTACGTGAAGGATGCAGGCGATTGACAAGTATCGATTGTGTTATTTTACACACTTTTTTTCACCTTGATCG